GATGGGGGTATGGGGTGTGTGGGGGGGCAACAGCTAAGTCATGATCCTTGTGGTCCTCTCTGCAGCCTTGCTACAGAAGTACCTGGACAACTACGACCTGAGCATCAGGATCATCTATGTGTTGGGGACACTGGGCTTCTCCGTGGGCACCGCTGTGATGGCCATGTTTCCCAACGTCTATGTGGCCATGGTCACCATCAGCACCATGGGCATCATCTCCATGAGCATCTCCTACTGCCCCTATGCCCTCCTAGGGCACTACCATGACATCAAGGAGGTACAGCCAGTCTGTGCTGAGTGGAGGTGGTGATGGGGTCACCACAGAGCCCTACTTGGCCTTAAGTCTGGTTTAGTTGTCAGGCCATGGGACCCACAGCCTATGCTCAGTGCCCTGCCATTTTCTCTATCTTCCCTTCTGATGAAGGCAACAGCTTCCACTCTCCTAGTAATTCCTTGGCCACCGAATCTTCTCTGGCCATCCACGTCCTAGAACCTATCACAACTAGGAACAAGAGACTGCCCTGCCCACATGCCCTTCACCATCATGTCCTCCACGAGTGGACAATTCCCTTCCCAGCTCACTGGTTGGGCCCAGCTCTAGCAGCTAGCCTCAGCGTCCTTCTCTCTTGCAGCATTTGAAGAGTTACTCCATTAGCCACTGCCTCTGAGTTATCACTGCTGGTGCCTCTGTGTAGAGGGATTGGAACTAGATGTAATGGAACACAGCCACATATCCAGCACTAGGGAGGGGAAGGCCAGAGGATCAGGACTTCAGGATCCTCTCCCCAGCAAGTTCAAGGCTAGCCTGGGCTACTTAAGACCCTGATTTAAAAGTAAAAACAAACAAAAAACTAGAAGCTGGGTATAGTGGTACATACCTTTAATCCCATTAATCATTAAAGCAAAATCAGTTTGCTCTGTAGGTACACACCACACCCACTCCTAATAAAACCTAATAGTAATGGTGTTTTGTAGATAAACTCTGCAGGCTTCATAGCTGATGAGGCTGAGCTACTTTGCTGGCATTTTAGAAGTGTGTCATACAGAATCGCCCAGACCAGGAAAGATGGTGACCAGAGTCTAGAAGCTCCTTCTCCTTCTGCTGCCCTGTTCTCACTTGCACCTGCATCTGACCTTCCTATAACCAGACTGGCATTTTCTGTTCCACCCATTCTGTGTGACTTGGGTAGCATGGCAGGGCTTACCACTGGTCCCAGGTATCTGTGCCACCTTCTGCTGTCGGCCCAGCAGGTTCTAGTGTGACTTGAGGTAGTGGATTAGACTCTGACATTCTCCCCCAACGTGGGTGTTCTTGGGACCCAGGGCCTCCCATCCCATCTTCATTGTTGCCGAATGGCGACATGTGTGCATGTGCTGTGCTTCTGGCCAGTTCCTCTCTGTCCTTGGACAGATGTTATGCGTTCTTTAAAGCAGGTCGGTAGTTAGTCTTGATGTCAAGCAGCATGAGCTCCTCTGCTGTTACTCAAGGTCACTCCAGCTGTCCCATTGTAGCCTAGGCTGGTCCAGAATTTACTATGGAGCCCAACCTGACCCCCAACTCACAGAAATCCTATTGTCTCCCCTAGTGAGTGATAGGATTACAGACACGAGTTGCCACATACATCTGCAGAAACAAGTTACTACTTGTTTTTGAGACAGGGTCTTAATGGTATCCCTGACTGGCCTGGAATTCAAAACGATCCACCAGCCTCCAAACCCTGCATGCTGGGATCAAAGATGTGTGCAGCCACACCTAGCTAATGCCCCCAACCCCCAAAAGATCTTTATAAGGTCTCAGGGAGATAACTTAGTGGATAAAGTTGGTGTCCCAAGTATGAATCTGAATCTGAATTCAGATTCCTAGGATATGATGGTCATGGTGGATTGGTTTCTAATAATTAAAGTCAGAGAACATACATGTGCATGATCTTAGTCCTTATATTAATTGATCACTCAGGCTGTGGCCCAGCATGTCCTATATCTGGTGAAATTTTTTGTTCTGCCCTTGTGGCCTCACTGTGTCCATTGGGTAAGGTGGAGTATGTTCGTTGTCTTTCTGGTTCCTGGAAGGCGTGTTTACAATCTCCCTCTGACTGTGGTGTACTCAATCCTAAAATCCGAGTGTGCTTTCCATCTTCTGGGTAGATTGGCCTCCATATCTCAAGAACTACATCTCCTTTGGAGAATTGGAGTGAGCATAGCCATGCAGTGCACAGACATGCTTTTATATCATGTTCAAGAAACATGAACAAACAAAACTGCTCAGTGTTCCTGTTCTGTCACGTGAGCCACATGCTCACATGGGAGTGACTAGAGCTCCTTGCTCTCCAAGGAGTTCATCAGCATGAGGTAGACATTCCTATGTCTGTCTGCCCTGCTTCTCTTCCTTGGGGCTGGAGGAAGTGTTCTGGGGAATCAAATTCTGATTAGGATACAAAACTACTTCTCTGTACCCCCCCTGTGAGCCAGAATTTTCTCTCTCTCCTGCCTGCCCATGCCAGGTAGTACCCGGGGCTCTGGAGAACCCAGCTGGGTGGCTACCTAGAAGCTCAGGGAGGTGGGTCTCATCTCTTGATTGCAGGCAGTGTCCACAGCCCTGGTGTATAGGCGAAGCCTGCCTTCTCTGCACCCCTCATATCTGTGTCCCTTCTCTTGCAGTACGTCCACCACAGTCCAGGGAACTCCAAGCGTGGATTTGGCATTGACTGCGCCATCCTCTCCTGCCAGGTCTACATCTCCCAGATCCTGGTTGCATCTGCCCTTGGGGGCGTGGTCGACGCTGTAGGGACTGTCCATGTCATCCCTGTGGTGGCCTCAGTGGGCTCTTTCCTGGGCTTCCTGACAGCCACATTCCTGGTGATCTACCCTGAGGTGTCAGAGGAGGCCAAGGAGGAGCAGAAAGGCCTGTCTGCAGGGCCCGCTGGTGAAGGAGAGGGTGGAACAGGCAGTGAGAAGCCCACTGTGCTGAAGCTTTCTCGGAAGGGGGGCCCTCGGGGGCCGGTGGAGACAGAGTCCATGGTGTGAGCCCCAGCTGGCACATTCCACACTGGAGGGCAGGGTGGACTGGGGACTGTGCTTGCCGACACTGTGCGAGCTGGAGTTCCTTCCCAGGGCGCAGTTCAAGTTCAGTAGGTGTTAGGTGTAGGGTAGGTTTGAGCTATTAGGCAAAAATATCACACTAATTACCTTTCCCACAATTGAAAAAAATCATTTGAAATCTTTTTTTTTATTGAAAAAACTTAATTTCAGCTGTCTTTTATTCTGCAGGTATTCCATTCTGCATGTTTTAAATTGTGAAACATTCACAGCATAGTCAATAAGCAATTTAGAAAATGTAAAGGGTCTGCATTCCTAAAATAGTAATTGAAAGTGCAGAAACTCCGACTCCCTTGGCAGGTGTCATCTGAAGGCAGCAGACAGCAGTGTAGTGTTCAGATTGCCCAGCAGGTGTCCTCGAGGGCTCCTCAGCATCATGCTGGCACTGCAGTGCCTTGGAGCATTTTTCTCTGTTTATTTTAGAAACGGTATTTTCTTTTTCACAACTGTGGTATTTTCTTTTTCACAACTGTGGTTTTCTTAGAACAGCATCTCTAGTGAATTGGGTCCACAGTCCTGTGCACAGCTGTCAGTGCCTGAGACCACACACCAAAGCTGGGGAAGGGTCCCGGAGCAGTTTGAGCAGAAGGCAGCCATGCCCCAGGGTAGCCTCCAGACATCCCGCCCAGGGACAGCACAGATCAGGAGTGCTGAATATGAACTCACAGCATGCCTCCTGTGTGCTTGTGTGTGAGTTTGTCTGTGTCCGGTCCTCCCCACAAGGTCCTCCCCAGAGGCGACCACAGGGCAGCTGTTGGCTCTTTGTGACACTTCACTTTGTCTCTGCACCTTTGATCGGGAATCCAGGCACAGAGCTCCAGGTGAGCACTAGCTCCTGAGTCCTGCTGCAAGGCTACCTCGAGAGTGTGGGGAACAGGGCACATGAGGGTGCCGAGGCCTACCTCCCTGCCATATTGGTGACACTGGTCCTCGCTGGAACCTAACTGAAAATCTTGTGACCTCATCACCTGCTCCTGCTGATGGCCACGGGAATGGGAACGAAGGCAAAGAGAAGCAAGTGTCTGTCTGGGCAGGAGGGCTGGTGACCCAAGAGCCCGGCACAGTTTCCAATTTCTGCACATGAGCAAAACTCGGGCCTCAGGGAAGCAGGCTCCTCAGATGCTGCAGCTGTGGGAAAATACTTTTCAAACCACCATCTCTGTTAAAAACTCCACAGTCGTGTCTCTTCGCTTATGAAACAGTCAGTCTGCGCTCAGGAGAGGGGAGGGCCTCCCTGGATGGTAACCAGATGAAGTCAAACCCGTGCCCTTGCTGCCTGATTGGTGTTTTTACACAAAGTACTTTACAGTGCATGAGAATCATGCTGCAATATGAGCATTCTAACGAAAATATATATCCATATATATTTCAAGATGAAAGTAAGCCGTTTTTAAATAAATTACTTGAATTTTCTGTGTATTCAAAGAAATACTGTGTTTAACATTCTTGGCAGGCCTCTGTCTTGCCACATTCCCACACTGGTGGCACTTTGTAATTTGTAGTGTGTTTTGTGTCTGGGGAGCAAAGGTGTGTGCTCAGGGTACATTTCACCTGCCTGGGTCCTCCCTCAAGCCTAGGCCTGCAGAGGATGGGCTCCACCTTCCAGTGCTTTCTGTGTTGCCAGTTGAGAATAGAATTGCAAATCTCCTTTTTGTATGGGAGCAGTTGGACTACCAAGCACAGTCCCCACACTGAGCCCTCCAGCCAGCCAAGCCCCATCAGTTGGGTGCTCTGTCCCTCTGGGAACACAAGCACCGCTGGACTCCTCTCTTCAGTGTCCTTGGCAAGTCGCTTCTGTGCAACTGTTTCCACTGGTTGTTTTAAGAGGGTATCTCTCCCTCCTGAAAGTCCTGGTCCATAATAAGAACCATAGCCTCTGTTTTCATGTATCCACCTGTCCACCTTGCCATAGGAGAACAGAGGGAGGCAGGAGTGCTGAGTACACTAAGTGGGCAAAACCTGGAATCCTCATACCGAGTGTGGTTCTTAGGAGACTGTGTGCTGCCCAGAGCACCCACCCACCCAGAGGCTCAGGCCACACTTACTGACACTGGATGTGGGAGCAGAGACCAGACCCACAGGAGGGAGAGACAGAGGACCGCCCCATGCAGTCTGCTAGCCTCCACTCACCATGATCTGAAGATAACACAAGGACACCTTGTGGTCATGGTACAGGCCTTGGCAGAGCCACTGGTAAAATATTGACACCCTGGAAGAATAGTCAGCTAGAAGTGGGACTGTTGCTGTCAGATCAGGCTACATATTGGTTGTTTTAAAGACCTGAAGCTATTAGATGCTTGCATCAAAAGCCTGCTGTCTGTGAGTCTGGCCAGGGTGCAGGGCCTTAGGCTGAGACCCAAGGGTAGCAGCAGGGTTGTTGTCTGGGCTTCCTTGCAGATAAAGTGAGCTATGGGCCTCAAGGTGGATGTGTCTAATCAGGGGTAGAACAATAGCCAGACCCTTTTGCCTAGTCCTTCCCTCTCTGGGAGGTTATTCTAGATGACACCAATGGGTAACTGTCAGGGACACTGCATGTGTGTTAAAGAAGCCAAGGGAGGAGGGCTGACATTACAGTGTGACACCAAAGTCTGTATTGCTCAGACAAACCCAGGCATTTCTGTTTTCAGACCTGGCTGTCAACCCAGCACCCAGAGGTAGTGAGATCCCAGAGAGTGCCTGAGTAGCTCTTCTGTGAGAGGAAAGGTGCTTTGATCATCTGAACCTAGGGGACTGGCAAGGTCAAGCTGATGTCCACTTGTGGCCAATGCTGAGGATGCAACATGGAGTTAGCTTTGTAGCGCCTTGAGGCCTGGGCTACATGCAAATGCCATATAGTAATTCACTGGTCCAAGGCTATAGAATGCATACAGGTTACTAATAGAAGGGAGTGATGATGGTCTGAATCCTGCTTTGTTGCCTGTGAAAGTCAACTACAACAGTTATTTTAGGAGATGCCTCTTAAGATGTATGGTCCAAGTTTGCCCGTGCAAGAGTATGAGCTGGTAGGAAGGGGTCCACAGCCTACTTTTGGCTGGGAGCAGAATAGCATGGTGGCACTCCCCAGTATCTGAAAAGCTGTCTATGGGACATTGTTCCTAGCCTAAGGTCTTAGCTGGATATCCAGTCCCACTGACTGGTCTGCAGCCCTCAGACTGCCATATTCTTGAGATCCTCGGGGCCCTGTGAGGGCAGGTTTGGGAAAAGTTAGGAGGGAGAGCACAAGACCTTGTTGGTAGCCTCCTGAAATGGTTAGGATTTCATAGAAAGTGCTGTGACTCCTCCAGCAGTAGCAGCAGCAGCCAGGGTGCCCATTGTCTTATCTCCCTGGTGCCACTGGCTTGTGCAACCCTGGAGTGGATGGCTCCCTTTGTTTGTGGTTGGTGGTCGGTTGCAGCAGCCATGGCCACATTTGCCACAGGTCAGTGTTGTGAAACACCATGTACTGAGACTGGACATTCATCAACTTCACATGCACCAGATGCCATGACTCCCCAGCTGTCTGCTTCTACCTGAGCCTCTCTTCAGCTACCAAACAACACCCGGAGTGCGCAGGTGAAGCCACAGGTGGGTGGTCCTCCAACGGCTATCACCAGAAATGGGCTTACCCCTGTGCATGTAAGCTAGAAGGCAGTGCTTCCGAGAGTGCCTGGGGACTGCCCAGCATAGCAGCCTTGCCATCAGTTTTATTCCAGATTGAACTGACTCTTAAATGTGGCAAGCAGGAGATAATGCACTCAGCAGCTCTTGTCACCACCTTGTGAAAAGCCAACATCACCCTCATGGCTAAAGCCTGAGGTGGCAACCCTTGAGCCGCCAGGAGAGCTAAGCATCCTCTGGGAGCCCCACCTGTGCCCCCTACCCAAAGGTCCTTTGCTGTTATATGTAGCAGGAAGCACAGTTGTTGGAAAGGCCTCGGCACAGGGGCACTCCCCAGGCACCTCGGAACAAAACTATTTAGTTCCTTTGTGAACTGGAAACAGGACAACTGTTATCAACTTATTAAGTTGGAGCACTGTAATAGCTCTTGCTGATTTTAGCAATGGTGAAATGTGTGTTAAACACATGATGTTATATTTTATGAGGAAACATAAGAGTTCTATCACACATGGTTTTGTTTTTCATTAGGGTGGATGTTTAGTCTGCTGTCCAGAGTCCAGGGGCTTTGTCTGTTCTTTGTCACATGCTGGGCCAGTGGTCCCTGTACACAGTTCAGTGTATATGGCCTGACTTCTTCCTGCCAGGCTAGTGCCTCGCCTGCCTCTATTGCTCTGTTATGCTGTGGTTGACTCAATAAACATTATCATTGCAGGTGATAGTGTGGACCTGTCATTTTCAAATGGCTGCTCTCTTGGAGCCTTTTATGTCCATGGGGAGGCAGAATGCTCCTCCTGGCTGTGGCCAATGCCTGCAAGCATGCCCTAGTGCCTCAGAGCTCCCCCAGGGCTCACAAAATGGGCTCCTGCAGCTTAGGTGTCCCACAGCCCAGAGTCACTCCTGCCTAGAGGTGAAGAGGATGGGCCTGTTCCTGGTGGTGGGATAGGAACCTCCCTGCTGCAGAGAAAGTGGTAGGTCTCCTAATGAGCAGCAGGAGGGGGTCTGGTGAAAGCTGGCCCACCTAGGCAGGGAATAGCTTTTGACCCTTGTGTGTGTACACAGCCTTGGGTGCTGGAGGTGGGTGTCTCTTAGGCCTTCCTGGAACAGAACATGTTACCTGAGTGTCCTGGCAACCTGCTAAGTTCTGTGACAGTCACAACCTATTGATAGGGTTCTCAACCTGAGTCATTCCTTGAGCACATACCCATGAACAGCTGTCAGCTGTGGAGCCCTAAAGGACCCTGGAGGCAGTTACATACTACAGCTGGGATGGAGAACAGTGTTTTCAGACACATGGGAAGTGTTAGTAGTGCCTACTTCCATACACATTCTAGATGGACTCCCTCCCCTCCCCCAGAGCCGTGTGTGGCACCCCTACTATACACTAACCCTGTATGCCTGATAATCTTGGGGTGTCTCAAGGGTGGCAACCGGGAAAGAATTTCTGCAAAGGGACACCCTATTGCCTGCTGCAGGAGCCAAAATCCAGACCCCTTCAGTAGCTGTGGCCCAATGAAAGGCATGTGGCTCACACTACATAAGTAACCTGGGCTGGAACCAACTTCTCTCCCACCCAGCAGTTTTCGAATAACCACCCAGAAGCTTAATATTAATTACAAACTGTTTGGCCTATTAGCTCAGGCTTATTATTAACTAGATCTTACAACTAAATTAACCCATTTCTATTAGTTTATATTTTACCATGAAGCTCGCAGTTTAACACTTTACATCTTGCTTCCCCAGTTGTTACTGAATGTTTTCTTGTCCCGCCAGGTCCCACCACTTCAGCCCCAAGTGAGCGCACAGACACTATATTAATTATTAAGATGTTGGCTGATGACTAGGGCTTCTCACTGGCTATCTGCCTTAATTATTAACCCATTTCTATTAATCTATGTATTTCCATGTGGTCTTGGCCTACCAGAGAATGTCTGGGCCTTCTACTCCTTTGTTGACTACATGGTGTGTTTGGTGGGCTCTCTGCCTACCTTTCCCAGAATTCTCCTCATCCTAGTCCCATCTATCTTCCTGCCTCATTGGCCAGACAGTGTTTTATTCATCAACCAATAAGAGACATATATATATACAGAAGGACATCCCCCATCACCCAGGAGTCTCCTCCTGACTTTTTTCTCCCTGCCTCTGCTTGGATTTCCTGCCTGGCTCTACACTACCTGGTTACTGGCCAAATCAACTTTACTTATCAACCAATAATAGCAACACATATTCTCAGTGTATAGAAGGACATGCCACATCAGGAACCCTCTCCTTGCTCCCTAAAGAACAATCTCTAAAGTCATATGTGTGCAGTGACTCATGAGGGGTAAGAGCCCCAAGTCTATCACTTCTATAGGCCTCACATCTGTGTTTCAGCACACTGGAGTGGCAGGTGTACACAAGTGCTCCTGGCTGAGGAACAAGTTGGCTTTTTTTTTTTTCCCCTGTGTGAATGATGGGACTCAGGACCCATGCTAAGCCACATACTCAGCCATCACATGACATTTCAGTGTGGTTTAAGTTGTATTTTGCTGAAGGCTAACCATGTTAAGCATCTTTCTATTTACGAATGTTTTGCCTGCATGTTTATACATTTACCATGTGTGTGCAGGTGCCTGCAAAGGCCAGAAGAGGGTATTAGATCCCCTGGAGCTGGAGTTGTAGACCGAGAGCCACCACATGGATGTTGGGAACCAAACCCAGGACCTTTGCAACAGGAGCAGGTACTCTTAAGCCCAGAGCCACCTCTCCAGCCCTATTAAACATCTTTTTAAAGTAGTCATCTAAGTAGCTTCATTGGTAAGGTACCTTTCACTTGGTTTTTAGTTGAGCTCTTTGTCTTGTTAATTTGTAGATGTCCTTTACATATCGGAGATTTAAAATTATTTAAAAATATTGTCAGATCTAGTGTTTTCCCCAGTTATGGTTTCAATTTTTTTATTAATTTATATTATAGATTTTGAAACAGGGCCTTACTCTGTGGCTCAGGCTATATCCAGACTCACCATGATCCTCCTGCCTCAGTTTCAGAAAAGCTGGGATCACAGACATGAGCCACTGTGCCTGGCTTTTTTTGGTTTTTTGTTTGTTTGTTTGTTTTCATTTTTATACTGTACTTTCATGGAGTCTAATCAATCCATTTTCTTTCTTGTGTAGCATTTCTCATGTTCTTGAAAGCAGTCTTGCAGCAAGGCTGCCCAGTCCTTTCCTGTCCTTGTCTTTAGAGCTTCCAGCTCCACATTAGGTCAGGGGAGTGCCCTGACACCCACCCTGTGCAGTCAGCAAGGGCTGCCTGCCTCCCACACCTCTATGTTTCCGTCTATGCACTCTCCCCATCCAGTGGCTTTCCTGTTTCTGTACAGTCACCCAGAATCCTTCTGGCTGGCTCACCTGTCAACAACAGGTGGCATCATTGTTTTCTCAATCATTGCCATTCGTGGGAATGCTTAAAAATCACATCCTTCGAACTTGTATCTCTGATCTTTTTTTCTCTTTTTTAAAAAATTTAAATTAGAAACATGATTGTTTTACATGTCAATCCCAGTTCCTTCTCCCTCCCCTCCTCCCCTGTCCCCCACCAACCCCCTATCATCCCCTTTCTGCTCCCCAGGGAGGGTGAGGCCTTCCATGGGCATCTTCAAAGTCTGTCATATCATTTGGAGCAGGGCCTAGGTTCTCTCCCATGTGTCTAGGCTGAGAGAGTATCCCTCTATGGGGATGTCCATTCGTTCACTATGGATAAATACTGATCCACTGCCAGACGCCCCATAGATTGCCCAGGCCTCCTAACTGAAACCCACATTCAGGGCGTCTGGGTCGGTCCTATGGTTGGTCCTATGCTGGTTTCCAGCTATTAGGCTGGGGTCCATATCTCTGATCTTTTTCTTTTTCTTTTTCTTTCTTTCTTTCTTTTTTTTTTTTTTTTGGTTTTTTAAGACAGGGTTTCTCTGTGTTGTTTTGAAGACTGTCCTGGAACTAACTGACTCTATAGACCAGGCTGGCCTCAAACTCACAGAGATCCACCTGCCTCTGCCTCCGGAGTGCTGGGATTAAAGGCGTGCGCTATATCTCTGATCTTTAAAAATGTTTTTCTTAGCATTTCTTCATGTGGTATAATCCCCAGCTGGATGGGAATTTATGAGTCACAGTCACTTAGGAGAGAACATCTTTCCAATGTTAAACTTTGCAGTTCATGGACGCAGTGTGTCTTTTGAGACTTTTAAATGTTCTGCCCAAGGTGTCTTGAGTTCTCAGGTACTGGTCTTCTGGCCTCCCGTCTCTTCTATTGGTTGTCTGTCCACCCCATACTGCTCCACACTGTGGCAGTACAACCTAAATGCTCCCAGTTTTCTGCTGCAGTGTTGGGTCCTGAGCTCACATCCATTTCCTGTTTCATAATCCTCAGGTTTACATAGACAGTGATGTCTGCAATGTCCAATGACAGACAGACAGCCCACGCTCCTTACAAGACTAACCTTTGTTAGACGTTGTTTTATCATCTTTATTATTTTATGTGGATGGGTGTTTGCCTGCTTGAATCTCTGTGTACCACATGCATGCATGGTGCCCAAAGAGCCCAGAAGAGGGCACCAAATCCCTGGAACTGGAGTTAGAGCCAGTTGTGAGCTACCATGTGGATGTTGGGAACTAAAACTGGATCCTCTAGAAGAGCAGCCAGTGCCTTCCCTCCCTCCCTCCCTCCCTTACAGCTTCCGGTTGGTCTCAAGCACCTGGCAGTCCTCCTGCCTCAGCCTCCCTAGGATTATAAGCATGAACCACCACACCTAATCAGTCCAGTCTTTGCATGCTTTCTGTTCTTGCCCAGTGCAATAGCTGAGCCTTCATGCGGTGTTGCCTAGGAGAGAGCAGATTAGCTGCCTGTTGCCCATCTTGAGGAAAGCAGTGAATCTTCATATCATTTGTCATGTGTACATCCAGTAGTTGTAATTGTGCAAACACTTTAAAACACCATGCCTAGGGCTGAGGATGTAGCTCAGTTGCTTATAGGGCTTTACTGCTATGAACAAAGCTCTGGGCTCCAAATCAGCACCACATAAACCAAGTGTAGTAGCTGCTAATTTAATTCTGTGGTCAGAGTGTGTCCTATAGATTCAAGCCTTTCTTAACTCTGTGTGGTCAGAGGCCATGTTCTCCGGTATTCGGACATCTGTGTGGTCAGCCGGATGTTCTATGGGTTTCGGACCTTTCCTAACTGTATTGCCTAACATCTGCTTTAGCTCCTTGAGCTTTCCCTCTACACTGCTGCTGTTGGATCTTGTACACCCTCAGGGGTTCCACCAATCATTGAAAGAAAGATGTCATATAGTCTCAATCTGCAGTCTGGGGTTGTCCCTTTGCTACTCATTTTCCATGTCTCTATTAACATATATAATCTTACTAAATACAAGACTTATGTCCTTTTTTTTTTCCCCAAGGCTGTGGATAAACTTGAGCTCCTGACCCCTGATTGAGTCCTGGGGTCAGATTCTCTTTCTGAGTTGGCAGTTGGCCACTGTTTCCTGAAGTTGGTCATGTCTGATAAGCATTGCCACATGTGTGTGTTATTTTATGCCATTCTCTGCCCTTTTATCTCAGCCATGTTTTTACAAACCACATCCCTGGTAGACAATGTATGATGACATTCAGGAGGTAGGAGTCATCATCTCCTTCCTCCATGTGGGTCCCAGAAGTGAACTAAGGTTACTAGGCTTGGTGGGAAGTA